ACTTATATTTAGTAGCTGACATAGTTTCAACAGTGCACCAGAGCAAACCGATGTTAGTACTAACACTTGAGAACCTGCTAGAAGTGCTCATCTTGAGCTGAGTCTGCTAAACCCCTGTGGTAAACTGAAAAACTCTGGACTGCATTGTTTTCCAAACAGAATCCCAGTATTGTTTTGGTTATTTTGTTGTTCGGCTGCTGAAGGCAGAAGTGTGTTTTGTTTACATTCTCTCTTGCCTAGGAAGGTACCTGTTCTCGTTTATATGTTGTAAAGAAGAAGTAATGTATTTCATCAAGGCAAAGGGGAATAAAATATGAATGTCTGAAGCCATGACTACTCTTCTTCTAACCTTTTTGGATGTGTAAAGAGGAATTTTCTTTAAATACCATATGGTAAATTTATTAGTCCCTCAGTGTATTATTAGCAATATTAATTTTATCAAGAGAATATAGGCTATTTTGGAAGAGAAGAGAATGATCTGAGGAAAAATTGATATCAACATGATACAGTGAACTAGAATGGAAGGGAGACCTTAAAAGACTATGGTACACACTGATGGTATTTATTCTGGAATGTGTAATCAGTTTATCACGTTTATTGTACTATTAAACTTCTATTAATTTTTGAATTACTTATAAGCTCAGAAAGCTACTGGCCACTGCCTGGTACACTGAGTCGTACAGGCAGGCAGTGATTAAAATTACTTCTCTCATCTCTGCAGCTCCTCTGTTCTGATGAAACTGTACAGGTCTCTGGCCATAGTACTTTCAAAGTCTAGAGCTTATCCCTCAAAATCAAGAAAATATACACATACTCCCTTTTTGGTCCTATGCACATAGGGATCTGATTCTACCAGAGCCAGGGGACAAAATGGAGCCTTCAAAAGAGTCTAACCTTGAACCCAGGGAGAACCATATCTGTAGCTGTTTCTAGACCATAGCCCTTTCTAACTGAATCTAAGTTAATCCCTTGTCTAAGGGATGTAGTCAGTCAAAATATGTTAAAATTTCGTCTGCAGACTTAGAGTAAGTTTGCTCAAACATGGGATTTTTCTCCCCCAAAACCTCACTATTGCTCACATAGGATCTATTGCAACTGTAAACATGTAATTGAGGCCACCATGATGGGAGCACCTGTGAGACTTGAGACACTATGAAGTCTCAAAATTCCAACTAGGCTGTTCATCTGCTGACAATGGAAGTTCAAGCATACATCACACCTGTTATATAAGACTTCAGAGTGTGAGTGTGATGCCATTTTGGGTTGGGGGCCACTGCCTTGGTTCTTTTTTTTTCAAGATTAAGATAGCCTGGATTGAGAGCTGTTTGATGCCTTCCTCAGGGGTCTGTGTTACGACTGGTGCTGTTTAGCATCTTTGTCAGTGACATGAACAGTGGGCTGAGCACACTCTCAGCAAGTCTGCTGACAACACCAAGCTGTGTGGTGCAGTTGACATGCTGTAGGGAAGGGATGCCATCCCGAGGGGCCTTGACAGGCTTGAGATGTGGGCCTGTCAAACCTCATGAAGTTCAACAAGGTCAATTGCAAGATCCTGCACCTGGGCAATTGCAAAGGCAAATACAGGCTAGTTGGAGAATTGACTGAGAGCAGCCCTGAGAAGAAGGACTGGGGGATTGGTTGATGAGAAGCTCAACATGACCCAGCAATGTGTGCTCACAGCCCAGAAAGCCAACCGCATCCTGGACTGCAACAAAAGAAGCGTGGCCAGCAGATTGAGGAATTCTCTCCTTCCACTCCGCCGTCGTGAGACCCCACCTGGAGTACCCCTGCAGCTCTGGGGTCCCCAACATAACAAGGACATGGACCCATTTGATTGGGTCCAGAGTAGGGCCACGAAGATGAACAGAAGGCTGGAGCACCCCTCTGGTGAAGACAGACTGAGAGAGTTGAGGTTGTTCAGTCTGGAGAAGAGAAGGCTCCAGGGAAGCCTTACACCAGCCTTCCAGTACCTAAAGTGGGCCCACAAGAAGGATGAGGAGGGATTGTTTATTGGGGAGCCTAGTGATAGCACAAGAGATAACAGTATTAAGCTGAAGGAGAGTATGTTTAGACTAGATATTAGGAAGAAACTCTGTATTGTGAGGATGTGGTGAGGCACTGGAACAGACTGCTCCACAGAGTTGTGGATGCCCCATCCCTGGAAGTGTTCAAGGCCAGATTGGATAGGACTTTGAGCAACCTACTTCAGTGAAAGTTGTCCCTGCTCGTGGCAGGGGGGTTTGAATTAAGTGATCCTTAATGTCCCTTCCAACCCATACCTTCTATAATTCCATGAGGAAGGCTGGAAATGAAGTGGACATCTTGTCCAGACCTCTAGCCCCTGGTGCATAACAGCTGTTTGTAGGACCTTCAGCATGGGCCAGATGAGTGTGGTCCAAAGGATTACTTCTCACATATGAAAACCAGCCCATTTTGGCCTGACCTGATGGATTTTACCGATTTGCAGATTTGGTGCCAGTTGTCTGATTCCTTCTAATAATTACAGACTGGGTACTGTTATCTCAGTTTTACTATTTTATGCAACTATATCAAGAAAATAGATATTACAAAACCTTTTTTTTCCTTAACTAAACCAAGCAGTCTTGTGATATGATTTGGTGTGAACCAAACATAATGTTCCACATATAGGCCTTTAGGCTACAGATCCCCTCCAAACCCATACATATGTATTTAGTTTCCTTCCTTTGGCACTCTGTGAAATACCCTCTACTCTACAGCTTCTTCTTCTGCTACTTTCACAAAACTACATTTTGCCTGAACATAAGATATATTTTTAAAGAGCTTTTTCAAAGCTCTTAGCTTCCTAAAGTCCCAGTGGAAGTGACGAAAACTATTTTTAATGAGTCCTGAAGGCAACCTAGAGGCTGCACTGACTGAAACATCAAATTTTTATCACAATTTACTTCCTTAGTCTAGCTGTGATCTCTCCATCCTAAACCTTCCTCACCTATACTCAGGCACTGTCTCTCTCTCTCCCTTTCTCTCTCCATTGATCTACCTTCATAGTTCCATCAATTTCAATTGCAAAACAATAGTTACAAATTTAGCCCAACAGCTACAATTTTGTATTCAACTGCCTATTATAAAAGTTTTGTGACAGACTGACAGAATTTCTAGTGTTACATCACGAGATCTACTGGAAAATCTTAAAAATTTAGGAAGACATTGTTTGGGAGGGTTATGAGTCATTAGGTATGGCTCAGATCCTGTGAACTTCAGGGAAAAAATTACGGAAGAAAGCAGGGCCATGTGCAATGTGTTTGTATTACCGATTATAGATAGAACTTTGTAGAAGCAAAACTAAAACACACTACATTATTTTCAGATAAAAAATTATTTCTGATTTAAAATGGTTTCTTAAATCTCTCTCTAGAAAGAGGATGAATTTTATCTTATGCTTCCACCAGGTGACTGCTATTCACACAGAAAGAGAATGAATAGAAGACTCACTATCTCCACTTCAGACATTTTTGTATTTCTGTCATTAAAATGTCACAATCCCACTGCAGTCCTGTTCACTTCAGGATTTTCTCTCTTATCGCAGCAGTCGGTAGGTTTGGGCTCTTTGCTTTTCTTGCCATTGTGCACAATTTAATACTACCATCAGAGGAGGATAATGATTGCACATCACAGAAAGTTTTTGTGTTTTCAGCTTCATATGCCAGGGTGTAACTGAACCTGTTGGTGATTTAAATTATTACCATAACTTTTTGAGGTGTCTGCTCTTCCTCCAGTAATAATTACAGGCTGTGGCAAATAAGTTCACTTTCTCTGAGTGGACCAGAAAGGCCATATTGACAGACAAATGCAAGAGAGAAAGGACTGATAAATTTCTGTTAAATTTTCACAACTCAGTGCTCAGACTAGTCACTGCCCGAATTCTAAATTGAAATCCATCATCGAAGTTGGTATTAATTAATCATATATCAGCCCCTGACAGAGGCCGGAAGCTTAACAGATCTTGGAGAACAAACTTCCTTCATGCTCTTACAGTGGTCTGTCCAGATCAGTGCAAAGGCTGAATAAGGCTGATGTGGGGACTTGCCATCCTGAGGGCCAAACAGAATAACCTGGGGAAGAGCTGGGCAGGCATATTCAGTAAAACTATAAGCACCAATCTGAGATTCAAGCTAGCTTGCTTGGGAGCAGCATTGGGAGCAGCCAGAATAATTTTAGGGAACTGGGAGATATTTGCTTAAATGTTCCCTATGCCATTATCTTGCCTTATCAGAAGACATCGGACACCTTCTCAACACCAAGGTGGCAGGGAGCATTCAGAAGACTTCTCACAAGATTTGTAGGTGCTGTTCTGACATGGCGAGACAGGAATTTTACAGTTGCTTCTCTACTCTTTGGAGGAAATGGGAAGTCCACGCTATGTCACAGGAGTATGCCAAGGATGCATCAGCTTGAAATTCCTGTTCTCTATTTCAGTGGCAGGAGAAGCCCAAGCTTTCCTGGTGGGGCATTCTGGGGATGCCATTCCCTCTTCTGTCATTTTCAAAGCTGTGAAACACTTCCATCCTTTTCTGTGGTGGACAAACACAGGAAAGCAGCAGACTGAATAGTTTGCAGGAAGGTACTGTTCTGCAACTTGTTGTACAAAGGCAGCAAGGTGCAGCAGAGACCAGAGATATGTGTAGGGGCAAAAGAACACCACAGTGCATCTGAGAGCTTTCCTGTCAGTAAACGGACTTTTTGTGTCTGTGCACTTAATGTGTCCAAGACTGAGGCTAAATATAGCTCATGAGCAATTTCCCGTCTCTGAGACAAGGAAGCATGCTGTGACATTTCTTGCCTTGTGTCTATACTGCAGGTATCTGAAAAACAAAAACCTCTAAGGCTTTCTAGTTGCAGTCTTTTTTTGGCACAATTTAATTCTAAATGTGAGAGTCTTTAAATAATAATTTGGAATTATTTTTATATGTTGAACAGGAATAAGAAGCATTATCTATGGATGTGAGTTTGAACACAGGGCGTGGAGGCAGGACCAGCCATGGAGGCAGGACTGACAAGTTGTTTAAGGAGTTTGACATGATCCACACGCCCAACCAGTCAAGTGCTTCTGCTCCTGATGCAGATGACCCAGAGGCTTTCCCAGCTCTGTCCTAAACTGGATGTCATAAGCCAACCCTGCCCTGGTCGGGCCCTCCTCTCCGAGGCTTGCATGCTTAAGGATCCTAAAACAACTAAGAAACTTAAAAAACCAAAACAAATGTGTCCTGATTCTGGACGCATCTGTGGCCTAGTTTGGATCCATGAGGTCATAATGTTTTCCAACTCTACGTTTTGCTAGTAAATTTATGTTTTTTTCTGAGTATAAGACTACTTAACTAGAGCTTGAGAGGTTTGTTCTCTGTGTTGTCAAGTTATCTTTGCTTCACACCTGAAACCTACGAATCTATCTACTTCCCCGGATTTCTTCTCCTATAAGCCTCTCTCTCTCTCTCTTTTCTCTCCAACAGATCAGGACAAACTCACTGTTGTCCAAAGACTTTTTCAGAACTCATCTCCAGTTCAGTTATGATAATGATGTGCAGGTTTACCCACATTTAATTTTTATTTCCAATTCCAAGCTCTAACTAATCTCTCACAAAACCTTCAGACACCTAGTTAGATGCAAACACTTGCGTTTGCTTGCTGATAATCACAGATTATTCCTGGAGTTCTGGTTACTGGAAGGAACTCTCCATTCCTTTAGTGTCTACTCTCCACAGCTTAGACTGTGACTCCTCCACAGTGAACACCTGCCATATGGAGGTGAAGTGACCTCTAGCAAGTTGACATTTGTTTCCTGTAAGCCTAAACTCTGATTACTCAAAAAACCCTTTCATTCTTTCCACCCTCATCAACCACTCCTCTCACATCAAATGAGTTTATTTATTTCCACTAAAGACTAAAGCTTCAGCTCTATGAGGATCTGGTTCAACAAACTCTTCTACAAGCATTTTTTTATCCAATGGGTTTGATACAAATGCACGCTCTATGCAATGGATTCAATCTCCTCTCCTTTTCCTCCACCTTGTAGCAACTTAACAAAATGGTACAGATCAACCTCTTGCTGTACATTTTTTTCTCCTTACTTCCTATGCACACAGAAATATGGGGCCATTGAATTTTTATGTATATTTTTATGGACACATTTACATTCTTAATTGAGCTATTATTTTATTTTAAGAGGATGCCATCACTATAAAAAATCATAATAAAATGTTCAAGTTACCAGCTGAAAGTTACTACTGAAAGAATGAAAATTATTTACTTTTCACCATTAGCAGTGTTTGGCTTTTCACTCATCTTGGGGCATGGATGCTGAAAATAGACCAGTAAGTTTCACTTCTGCTTAAGACTTTTTTGCATTAGAACAAGGCTGCTTTGAATAGGCTGAAAACACAGCAGAAAATTATATTCATATTAGATTCTCCACAGAATTACAGAGGAAGAGCTAGTTCCCAAAGACTGTTTTGTATATTTTGGATTTTACGGAACCAAAGACTTGGCATTCTGCCAGAACACTGAGATTTGAATTACCCTCCAAAAAGTGCAGCCAGCTGCCTGTAGCTATTTTTTCTGTTGTACCAGAGGAAAGAAAAGGTGAAGTGTATTATAAAAGTATCGCTGACTTCTTGTATTTGTCTGAGTTGCAAGGTCAAGTGCCTATATAAGAAGTTCCTCTTCCTTTAGATGTTAAGTACAAGTTTGTACCTCATTCAGAATAATCTCTGCCTCTATCTATGTTGGTATTAATTATACTTTCAATCTGGTTTGCAGATGCTAAACCTTGGGCAGCAACTTGGATGTATGTAGGATCTTATCCAGCCAAGTAAACCAAGGGACAATAACACCTGTGTGTTTTGGGCAGTTACAAATGGCTCATTAGATATTTGATTTTGTTGAAATGCATTTCTGATCTTAAGAAAAAGATGGGACTTAGATTGATGTTGCAGATATAGATTTGATCTAAAGTTAACCATGTTGGGGGCTACCTGGAGCAGCATTTCTTCTCTTAGGTCTGCTGGATGCTCTCTGCATGCTGTGAAGAAAAAATAATAAAGCACTACAGGTAAGAGAAATCTTTTTCTCTGATTTGTTAGTTTTGCATATCTTCTCACTTGCTCCCCTGCCTGTCCTGAAGCTGGCCTTGATGTCTTTGCAGCTGAGTTTCTTCCTGCAACAAGGACAGCACCACAGAAACTGTTTTGAATCACCTCCATTCAACGATGGTCACTCAAGTGACCATGGAATCCAAGGAACCAAAGTAGCTTTAAAAGCTTCTCTGTAGTTGATCAGCAACTAAACCCCCTGGTGCTCAAAAATTTTGCTTGTGAAAATAAAAATCCCCCCACAAAAGTAATATTGAAACAGATTTGGCTGTGCAGGGTTATTGTGATCTTAGTGACAGTCTCACATGGTATTCAAACCAGTGATGGAAGTGCTAAGTGACCCCCCCCATTTTTTTTCTGCTAAGATTATGTATTTGCCCTTCCGTATAGTCTACTGGAAGGGTGAGCTTACTTACCTGATCCATCTTATGAACTGGATGTTCATAAACGCATTTAATAAATTAATTCTTCACGGTCTTGTATAGAATGGAGACATCACATGCTGTATTAGGAGTTTTGTTGCTATTCAGAATCAGATGAAAGACTTAATTAACACACTGGCAAATAGCAAATGAATAGGATCTGCTCCGGTCAGGTATATTCCCACCAAAGGCATCTTCCAGAAATACAGATCTGAGTGTTCTCAAGAAGTCAGTTGTATATTCCCTGAGATCTCTTTTGCTGTGGAAGAAAATATTTTAAGTTTGAAAAGGAATTAGTTAGAACTGGTTCCATTTTGGTTGTTTGAAGTCTACCTATCAAACCTGCAAGAGTTCCAGATTTGCTCACATTGTAGAAACTTTTCCGTTTACCACCAACTAAAGTTGTACATCTGATGCTGAAGCTACAGGGACATGATTTTTCTGTAGAATATAAATAAGGGAGGAAATATGGATTTCTTGTGTAGAGTGATAAACAGATCAATACTACATGAAAGAGATATCGATGGGTATGAAACTTATGTAGTGAAGCATGCTGCTTTTATAATTTCAAAATTAACAGAATTTCACAGTGGGACTTACATAGTTTTTTTAGCATAAACAGAAATCGTGCAAGGATGGTTAGAAGAAAGGAGAGATTTCGAGCATGAACTGGTACAACGTCAGCACTTTAAGAAAGAATTTATTAAGATGAGCATTTTACTAATAGAAGAGTGAGTGATTATCCTAGTAGAACAGAAAAAAGAAGTAACTGCTGACATGTAAACTAGTCATCTAGGAAAAGAAAAATGTAATCAAATGAGAAGTAGTATTTCATTCCACTTGGAAGGAGCATTCACATAAAATACAGGGCAATTCAATATGATACACATAATTGCTTCTGAAGAGAATAAACAAACAACTAATTTATAGTAATGAATACCTGCACAAATCATAGCAAAATCTGGAGAGGGATGTTCATTTTGAGTATGATAGAGAAAAGTATCTATGGTTAATTGAATTATATTCTAAAGTCATGAAGCCATCAAAAGTACTGAATGCTGATTTCTGAGATAAAATCAAAGTTTGCAAGGCAGGAAAACTGGAAGGTTTTGAGGAGTGACAGTAAGCATCAACTCTCAGGGAGTTTCAGACATGCAGTAAGATTTGCTGGTTCCAGCACAGCCTTTCCTTGTCGAGGTATCCTAAGAATAATGAGAAAGCTGAGAGAAATGCCACTGAAAGAAAACTATACAATACAAAATTCAGAGTTACTACTGTGTAGATCTGCCAGATGAAAGAAGATTTTACTTTGCAAGAGACTTCCAAATACTAGATGTGCACATAAAAATGGAGGAGAGACAAAAATCTCACCTAGCAGATACACCAACCTTTTAGTAAAACACAGAGCTAGAAAAGGTTTTCCAAGAGGTACAGAATAAGTAGAGTAAGTCTGATTTCTCATGGATCTATATATTTTGTCTCCCTAAGTACTATCTCTTCTCCCAACAATAGCCCTAGATGGCCCCAAGGTCTGCATCTGGTCCTGAGCCTGGCTGGCTTTGAGCCATTTGCTGACAAAGAAAATGTACAATGTATCAGTTCTTCCTCCCTTGTGTTTCACCTGCCTAGCACAAAACACAAAGGCAATTATCCTTAATACCTCCACCATTCTTTTAGATATAGATTATACCAAACCTGAGTCCCAATTTACATAATAATTGGTGGGAGATGGGTTAAAAGACATAGAAACAGTTTAGGGAAGGAGTTAAAAAAAAATCTTGGATCATCATAAATCTTGTAACATCAGCTATTGTTCCTGTTGTTAACTGAGAATGCCAAGGATTATTAGGTTCCCAGGGAATAAGAATTGATTCCTCAGAAAAAACCCAACAGGAAAAAACCCAACAGCCTGCTTTTCAAACTCCTGAGATTCTTGGAACACACTGTAGGAACAGCAGTGAAAATGCTTACTATATAACTACATAACCATATGAAAAGCTATAATAAGTGCCAATGGTCTGTGTTTGTCTTTTCACATTCTTGCCAAAGATAACTTTTCACTCCAAGGACATTACTGAAAAAAGTTGACTATGAATCTTAAGTCCCTACAGCTACTGCTTGGAGGAACAGGCAGAGTAGGAAAGAAAGAGTTTAACATAATCAGTCAATGCCTTGGCTATTACTCCTACAGAAATTTAAGGAATTTTGTAGTGGGATGCATACATCATCCTATCACACTTTCATAACATTGCTTGACTGACTTAAGACTTTTGTAACATTGCTTAACTTTCAGTTATACTGAGGACTATTATGACTTACATGGTATTTGACATCCCAAAAATTCATGTTAATAAATTACAATTCTGCTGTCCACAGATCAGTACTTGTGAATCTTCTACAGATGATTCAGTTTCTTATTTTATTTAACTGAAAAAGCCTTTTCTCTGGAATTTCTTCCAATTACTCCTGAATTTCCCAAAAAGAAAAAGACTCAGGATTTACCAGGTGTGTCAGCAGTGAATATAAAAGAAGTTCACGACTGGTCAACGTTATACAAGAGAGACTTCTATATTAAAAACTTCAGCCATTAGTAGTTTGCATTAATGAAGGACCCTAATACCTGAGTTGATAACAGACTGGTCCCAGGCAGATTTTGTAGAAGTGGTATATGTACTTTTACATGTCTTGCCATATATCATGGAGCTAAGCTTTGTATTTCAAGAGCTGAAATTTGACATTGCAATTGTACATGTGTTAGTAAATCATTGCCTGTCATCTCCATAGAGATGTACAGATGACAGGCACCATGGGATGGGGAACAGCCCCCTGTATGTTACATATAGTGAATGCAAACTGCATTGAAAACTACTTGAGTGGTGGAGGTACTTTTCATTCCTGCCTTCTACAAAGAATGGTACATCTATAGGAGAATTGTCATGAGATGTTCAAATCTAGAATCATAGAATTATAAGGTTGGAAAAGACCTCCCAGACCATCAAGTCCAGCCTTTGATCAAACACCACCATGTCCATTAAACCATATCATGAAGTGCCACATCTACTCATTTTCGAACGCTTCTAGGCATGGTGACTCTGCCACTTAATTGGGCAGCCTGTTCCAACACTTAACCACCCTTTCAGTGAAGAAATTTTTCCCGATATCCAACCTGAACTTCCCCTGGTGCAACTTGATGTCATTTCCCCTTATCCTGTCACTAGTTGCCTGAGAGAGGATGCGAAGGAGCAAGATTCAGGATGGGAACAGTTCCAGGCATGGAGGAAAGCATACAGCAATTGGTAGGACTTTATTATATGGACCTTACAGTTATCATATGGACTTTACTGTTATTATGTGGTTTCATTGTATTCACACTACACAGTGCACAACCTGGTCGTGCCCAGGCTTGCCATGAGTTTGCCTGCTGCCTGCTCCCTGCTTCCTCCACTCCTCCCCCTTTTGTCCATGTCCCTATCTTGGTTTGTTCCCCTGCTTGTCTGTCTCATGCTCCGCCCTATGTTCTGGCCTTTTCCCCGCCCGAGTTGACAAAAGACAGGGTGCACGTGTGAATAGGGCATTCTACTTACACCTTTCCTCGTGTCCCATCCCCTCTTCGGACAGCGGCAAGAGGAGACCAAGCCCCATCTTGCACAACCTCCTTTCAAGTAGTTGTAGAGAGCAATAACATCCCTCTGAGCCTTTTTTATTCCAGACTAAACAACTTTGGCTCCCTCAGCCAGTCCTCGTAAGGCTTATGTGCCAGCCCCTTCACCAGCTTCATTGCTCTTCTCTAAATATGCTCAAGGACCTCAATGTTTTTCTTGAAGTGATGGACCCAAAACTGGACACAGGATTTGAAGTGTGGCCTCACCAGTGCTGAGTACTGGGGAGGAGATAATCAGTTCCCTAGTCCTGCTGGCCACACTATTTCTGATACAATCCAGGATATCATTTGCCTTCTGTCACCTGCGCACATTACTAGTTCATGTTCTGCTGCTGTCAACTCACACACGCAGATCCTTTTCTACCAGGCAGCTCTCCAGCCACTCTTGCTCCAAGCACATAGCATGGCATGGGGTTTTGTGACCACAGTTCACAACTTCACCTTGTTGAACCTCATGCGGTTGTCCTTAGCCCATTGATCCAGCCTTTCCAGATCCCTCTGCAGAGCTTCCATATGCTCCATGAGATCAATACTCCTACCCAACTTAGCATCGTCTGCAAATGACAGTAATATCAACTATTAGAGCAGGGTGCCCATGTACCCTGTATAACAAAGCTGAAAAGCTTCCTGAGTCTGCATAGGATACCCAGGTGACATGACACAGCTAGGGCTGGCTGGGGGAGAGATTCCCTTTGCAAATGGAGGCCACTGGGTTACTCAGAGACTTAAAATGGGATTCCCCACACATGGAAAATTCCTACATAGTTTAAAAAAACCCAACAATGAATCCAAATAATGACAAAGAGTTGCTATTGTGTATATTTTCACTGGAACAGTACAATCCAGAACACACTGGTGAGGGTTGAGGGTGGCAGGGTTCTACACTCAGACAAGTACAGCAGCTAAGGTAGCATCAGCCCCTGCCATGTACTCATATGAGACCAAGCCATGTCAATCCCTTTATGGGACTTCCTCATAGTGGACCTTTCATATTCCTCCCAGCTCTCCAAATTCATTGACCCTATGCTGTGCTCTCCCCATATTCGCTTGGCTCAGTTGGCACAGCCATTCATGGTGTGCTGCCAACAAAATATATTTTTACCTCTCTTCTTCCCATTGTCTGTCTAATGTCCATGGTGCACCTGGTGTGAGCTGTCCCAATTGCTTGACACTGCTGTGGTGGGAGTTCACACCCCTCAGGCCTAGCTGTAGGGCTGGGCTGGGCTGGGAGTGAGGGAGGGGAATGCAGATGCTCCTTCTTAGTGGCATGGCGGTGTGAGGGAAGGAAGAGGCAAGGATGAAGAGGCAATGAGAGAGAGAGAAGAGCCAACCCCTTCTTACCAGAGGAGAGAGAGCGAAGCACTCCCCTGAGCAACAAGACAGTTTCTGCTCCCCTTCCCTTAAGATTAGGGTGGAAATGCTCCTCTGCCATTTGGGGGAGGCAGGACAAGGCTGGAGCAGGGAGAGATCCCTGTGGAAACGCTAAAAGAACTGTCTTGTTTAGGGGGAGGTCTGGCAAAGCTGGTGTGTGCACTCTGTGCCCTCCGGAGGCAGGGAGGGCAGGAGGGGAGAAGTCACTTCCTAGACCCACTGTCTAGCCCCTCTACCTCATTTAGCCTCTCGACCCCTTCCCTTCCTGGCAGATCTGAAACCTTTACTTTGGCAAAGAGCACCAAGAAAGAGAGGGACTGACATATTTGAAGGTACAAAGTTTCATCGCTGTTCCTCCCCTCTTTGCAGTGTTCCTGGAGCACAGGTGTCTCTGAGAAAAGCTTGAAAACAGATGTGCCTGGACACTCTCCTGCCTCCAAGTGCCTTGCAGATTACTCCTGGGCACCAGGATTTGCAGTTCACAAATTCTGAGGATACGTCTTTTCCTTGCTATTCCTGAGACAATGAGATCAAAACAGTGTCCCTGCCCCTGCTGCCCTTGTAGCAGGTTAGTGGTGTCTGGCTGAAACAGGTCCCCCTCTCCTGGCTGCTGCTGAGCACCCTGGGCCAGTGTTAAATAAGCTTTGTTAATTCAGTATGGCAGGCACATTTCCCCAGCTAGAAGGAAAATTGGAATGTGCTGTAATTATTTGTGCTAAGAAAGAATGGTGAGAGTGGGTAGAGAGTTTGAAATGGATTTGGTTGGGCTACTGCAAATCTGTGAATAAAACGAAGCCCAGCAAGAGAGTAGTTCTAAATAATATGAGATTAAGAGAGGTAGCTGCTTCTTACTAAATGAGTTTCTATAAAAAAGGTAATTGTTATGTGTTTTCTGCTGCTTTCCTACAGAGAGGAAAACGTGGCAGTGCTATGGTACAAAGCAAAAGAGGTTTCCTGACCGAGGTGAAGGTTTGATTGCAAACTTTGTGCAGCTGATTGGCACAGACAATGCCATGCTTTGCACTGTGTTTGCAAAAAACATGCAATTGATGATTTACAATCCAGATCCATCTGTCAGCACAATTTACTTTGCTTGCAACCACATCCCTGGTATTTCCTTCCTGAGGACCCCTTGCCCCACTTTATGCTATGGAGAGGTAAAACCCACTTAGCAAAAACACATAAGGACATGGACGCGAATGTTTGTCGTGTGAATGGGGTATGTCTGGACTGCGTTCAATGTGCTGGAGACATCCATGCCATGGGAAGATTGACTTCTAGACAAAGGTGGGCGAGCTGTATATTGATTTTCATTGGTAGAGGCTAGTAACTTCACTTCAGCAAAAAGACCCGATCCAGTTATGGCATCCTGTGTCTGGATGTGTAGTATGAGTCTACCTTTTCTTTGGTTTTCAGCTCTCCTGTCAGCCCAGTTGCAGGCATATATTTAGTTATTTGTGGAGAAGAAGGAGAAACCAAAAGTGATTGGACAAGCTGGTAGCTAAAATGGTCCCTTCTGTGCTACTGGCTGTAAAAACCAGTGCATCTCAACTATTGCACTGCTTGGGCACAGGATGCGCCTCCAAAGAAGAAGAACAAGTAGATTATGATCTCATTTGAGCCTGATGAACATTCATGTCTTAGACATATGACAATTTAGTCCAATTTTTAGAATTACCTCAAAAAATGCAAAGTCTTTGAGGCAACGTAGCGAGTGAATTGTTTTCTTGCCTCTGAAGCTACTTCTGTCAAATGACAGGTGAGGTTCTCTGACAGGGGCAAATTTATAGTCCTGTAATTCCTACTGTGACTAGAAGCCTGCAATCTCAATTATTTTATTCCTGTGTTGTTTATGGCAATGAGAGTGCTCTGTGCAGGCACAGGAAGACTTTACCTTCTGTGCTGGTTTAGGCTGGGATAGAGTTAATTTTCTTGCCAGTAGCTAGTATGTGGCTGTTTGGATTTGTGCTGCACACAGTGTTGATAACACAAGGATGTTTTTTTTTACCGCTGAGCAGTGCTCACACAGAGTCAAGGCCTTTTCTGCTCCTCACCCCACCCCACCAGTGAGAAGGCTGGGAGTGTGCAAGGTAGATGAGAGGGGACACAGATAGGACAGCTGACCCCAACTGACATAAGGGATATCCCGTACCGTTTGGCAACATGCTCAGGATATAAAATTGGGTGAAGAGGAAGAAAGACAGGGACATTTGGAGTTGTCTTCCCAAGTAACTGTTATGTGTGATGCAGCCCTGCTTTCCTAGAGATGGCTGAACACCTGACTGTGGATGGGAAGCAGTGAATTAATTCCTTGTTTTGCATTGCTTAAGTGTGCAGCTTTTGCTATACATATTGAACTGTCTTTATCTCAACCCACCAGTTTTCTCACTTCTACTCTTTTGATTCTTTCCCCCATCCCACCAAGGGGGGTGTATGTGAACAAGTGGCTGTATGGGACTTGGTTGCTGCCTGGGGTTAAACCACACACCTCCATGGATTCCCCTGTAAGCTGTGCTTTTGGGCTGCTGTCACCCACACTAAGCTTCCTGTAGGCCTGTTGGAACAGGGAATTACTGCAATACTATATTCTCTCACCTTGACCACATTCTGTCTCCCAACCTAAGTCAAAGGAGCTGGCGAAGATTTAGCAGGCCAGGCTTACACTGATTGTGGAGACTTTTTACACAGAAAGCATTTTTGTCCTTTTCTACCCATCATTGTGGTCCCACCAAAGATGAACTGCAGCTGTCAGCAGGCCCCAAAGCTATAAGATTAGCACTTTCCACCCATTCCAAGGTTTAGGATGGAAAAGTTGAGAGAAGCATGATACTTACCATGATATCTCAGATACATGGATTAATTTTCTGCCTTTGTTTTCAGTTAAGACAAAAACCCATCTGTGAGATTTTGATTCTACTCCATGTGTCAAAGACATTTTTTGTAACACTCAAAGAGCTGCCACGAGCATGATTGAATGTTTAACTCAAAAAGATCTGTATTTCTGTTCTGCTTTTTGTATTTTCAGGCATATAGGATTGCTTGCCAATTTGTACTAAGAGACCTCTCCACATTCAGCTGAAGTAAGACACGATCACATATTTACTAGGTCATGCCCACTTGGCAGTATGATGTTCAGTGTCGTCCTCTGGGCATTGCTGTGCCACCCACCTGACTGCCCTCAGGGTGCTCTCAGGGGTGGAGGGGCTCTGATCTTGGTGCCTGGCAGCCAGGGAGGCAGCATGTACAACAAAAAGATTGCCCATGGCACCCTGCTGACACAGGGATTTGGAGCACTGGAGATACAGGGTGTAATTTGCAATATTTACTTTCTATTGGGTGAGTAAGGCAACAGGGGGCGATCAGTGTTCTTTGCCTGACATATTCTCATGTCCATGTGCCAGCAGCCTGTCTTTTACCATTCTGACAAGAATGGAATCATTATTTGCAGAACTTCATCAAATAAGTTTCTTAAAGGTGAATAGCTTGCTGTCATACATCCTTCTGATACCTGCCTGTTGCATGATTTAAAAAAAGTATCCATACATTTGTGCAAGAATTTGAGCAAATGAGAGATCACCCAGACTGACACATTTTCTTGGGAAATCTCTGCTGATGGAGTTTTCCATGTATCAGACATTTTGTCTTCCCACTGCAATACTGTATCCATCCCTTGCCCTGACTTTTTCAAGGTAAAGGACTCAGAAAGTGCTTAGAAGAAGCAGTCTAGAAGATATTGGAGGGTAGAACAGTCTAGAAATGTTAACCAAGTAATTGTAAAATATTGCAATGTACTTTATTGAAAATCCACATTAAATTCATATTTCTTGTCCTTTCTTTCAAGGCTGTAAACAGCTCTGCCCACACAGCTTTCTGCCCACAAATCCACATGCTGTTTTTGCCAATCTTGTCTCTCAACTGCTCCTTTTGTGTCTCTCCCACACAGAACTTTGTGCTGGGATTCCTCTCTACCCCCAGACTTCCAACATCTGTGAAAAATATGTATGTATATATTATATATTATTCTATTTTATATTCTTTGTATTATCATATGCATATGCAAAATGTGATCTCCCTTTTAACTGTTCCTTAAAATTGACATCTTTCCCCAAAGATGAAGGTTCCACTGCTCCCTTCACTTCCTTTGTGATATATGACTTTACTCCTGAATGATAATTTCACATGGGTGCTGCCTGACTCTGGAGAAAGGATTGCATTTAGTTTTTCTAAACTATCACACATGCTTACAGTGACATGTATATGATAAGGCATAATAACACATGCAAGTGAGTTGCTCACAGTCCCTGAACTTGGAAGGACAATTCCAGCAGCCTGAAGCTAAAAACCAAACTGCTTAGGCTACCTGTCAGAGAAAGTCCTTGACAGATGTTTCAAAGTTGTATGTAACATTTTGGGCATATAGAGAGCATGATGGCAAATGCTCCAGGAGGAATTTATAGAATGAGAAACTTGAGTGCAAGAATCTGTGGAGTACTTTGCCAGTGACGTGCTGGTGATGCCAATCCTAATGGAACATACTGGCAGAGAGACTACCAAGACGTTATCATTATTTCCTCACATACACCCCTTATATGAAACTGAAAGAACTGCTGACTGCTCGTTGAGGGTTTTTTTAATTTCTCTTGTATGGGAGCAAAGTGATCTGGGGTTTCCCACTGCAAGACCATTGGGTTGCACAGTTCTACCCGAACACTTTCACCTGATGCTAAAAGTAATGCACAAATTTACTGAAAGAGTATTACTAAAAAGTACTTCCTCTCTCTAACCTTTTCCTCTTCTGGTAACACTTAAAAGGTAATTATCTTTACTGTTTGACATCTACAGTAATTTGTCTTTATGACTCAAAAAAGCTATTGCTTTTTCATTTGTGTGAGCCTCTAAAGGTAGTGAAAGAAATGACAGTAAAGCCAGGAGTTAGAAAAGGAGACTGAGGAACCAGTGAAATAGCTGAAATATATCTGATCTTGCAGCATGAAGTTCATTGGAGACAAGGATGACAGTCTCCCTTTAAGGGCATTGAGAAATGCTCTAAATACGTTGTGTTAGAGAGGATATTGTGTTTTCAGCTTTTGCAGAACCATAATTGGTTTTGGTTTTTCTTGTGAAATGACAACCATGTGGAAGTCTGAAGCTGAGTTCCTTTGTGTTACTGTCCTCAATTTTTTTTGTAGACTATTTTAAAATTACAAATCGGTTTTGGTCCCTTTAATTTACATTTTTTTCCCCTGCCATCATGCTTTAGTACAGTTTCACAACAAGATCTGTGCATATGCAATCTTTGTTTTAATGTCCATTTTCAATGAAAAATAATTTTAGAATTGCAAACCTAAGCAGAACTAGAAAGTGTAAGATCAAATTAACAAATTATTTTTCCAGAAATGAGTCTCCTCTGCTGTCCCTATTTACTCTCAAGATCTCTTCCTTTTAAATTATGTGTGGAACATGCTCTGACTCTGTGAGGAAAGATGTGTAGCCCTGTGGAGCTGCAGTGTGTCACTCTCAAGGAAAAGTGTGCACAGGTCTCCTAAAAATATGACATCTGTTTTTGTATAGGGTAGAGAAATTAGAATGAACTGAAAATGTTAATGTGAGAAAGTACATTGTAAAAGGTGTGTCCTTCTTTTTGGAAAATTGGAGGAAATTCTGGTATAGTTAAAAGGATCCTGTGCAGTGTTTGCAGAGGACATTATGCAGCAGTGCATGCTGCATTTCTGGCACAGGGGGTTTCTGTAGTGATGTAAGGTGCTGCAGTTTCACCCAGTCCACTCACAGAGGTGCACGTTGCAGTAGCTGTGTTATGTTGCAAGGCAAAGGCTTGGTTTTGTACCAATTGGTTCTCTGCCCCCAGCATTCAAGACAGATGTTTCATGTTCCACTATGGCTTAAGAATAGTTTCACTTAAAGAAGCTGTCATGTGTACCAAAAGGCAGAAAGACAGGAAATGTAAAGGATAGGTATCTAACAGTAGCCAAGCTGCTAAACTGGAATATTGAAAAGGTTGGCTTTCTTGCATGTGCCAAAAAGATGAATATATAATCCTCTGAGGTACTAAAGAGTATTATTATTAAATAACGTGAAAGGACTTAAATTTCCTGCAGTGCCAGGCAATGGAAGAAAGGAAACCCACAACCCACCTCATCAGAGCCATCAGGGGTATCATTTTCTGCAAGGGTAGTCAGAAGAGATCGAAATTTGACTTTTTCCTGGAGGTTTCCACTGCCTCTTAATGTATAAATTTATCTCCAACTGGCAGGTGTAAACAGTCTGGCAGAGCTGAGTTTCAGTACTCTCACCAAGAGGTTTCCACAATTTGTAAAGCTAATATCTTAGAAGCAGGTACTAATGTGGTTGCACTGTGGTGCAAAGCAGAAAACAGTCTGTCAAAGGACGCATGGTTTGTTATACTGTTCTGAAAGTAACAAAGGAAAAATATACAGATTCTCTTGAGCACATTTGTTTTCTTTTTGTCTTGTTACTTGAGCCAATCAGCAATTGACTGGAAGGTTCCATATTTCAGTGACATTTCTGTAGCTAACCAAAGACCTCCTCAGGGCCTGTCTTTGGGGAAGGCATAAGCATTGGATCACAAAGTTACTTTGTATGCCTCAGAAGACAATTCTTTCTTGCCAGTACCTGAAACATTTAACTGAAAGGTGAAAGAGGGAGTCAGATATTTCAATGTGTCTTGAAGTCTGTCCATCCAAAATCTGCAACAGTCAGTAGTGGTGACTGCCACTGTGACCACTGCTGTTGCTGTCTGACATCAAAGATTTTACATTTTTATACAGATGAATATCGTCACAATGCAACTACTTTACAATGTGGTTACAGACAGTAATGATCTGTGCCTCTGTTTTCTAACACTGCAATAGGGTTTTCTGTACTTTGTCAGCTTGCTGTGAAGTGAAATTCATTCTTTGTCTGAAGAACTTTGGAATAACTGAAAAAACGCCAGGTATTAGAAATACTTATGTGAATTACTTTATCACACCATTGCACTGCCAGTTTGGTTGCTGAATGTGGTCTATACCTAATGATTTGGAAAGCAAGGGGTAATAGAATCATAGAATTGTTTAGGTTGGAATGACTCTGTAAAATGTAAATGGAGAATGGTGTGAGATCTGCCTGCTTCTCTGGCTCAGATATGTCTGGAAATTATTTAATTAGTCTATGAATGGTATTTTCAGCTTGCCTTTATGGTGAGGCAATTTAAAGCATTCATTTTTTTGTATTCCTTCCTTTCTTTCATCAGGTTTTTCTATAATCAACACTGTTTTGAGTGTAATTCCTGCTTCTTACATGAAATGGCAGTCCATTTGGCCCTGAGGTATCAGAAAGGTGTCTCAGCTAAAAGTCAGGATGCTCCTGCGTAGTAGTTTTACTGACTTGGTCAGAAAGCCTGATCTTTTGTGACTTATGAGCTGTGGTTACACAGCCTGTTCAAGTTAGCACAGGAGAGTGCTAACACAAGCTAGCTTGACATGGAGAGTGGCAAGCTAACTTGTGTTATTCTCTGCTTCTGGAAGTTTTTCACTGTGAGTTTTGATAAGGCACCAATATTTGTACAACCTCATACGCTAAATCAGGAAAATCATCTAGTTAAAGTCTTCTTCCTCTCATCCTACTTCACTCTTCCCTCTCTCTTCTGTTTCCTTTCCTTTGTTTTGCCTTGCCATGACTTTCTTTGTCCCTTTTTTCTGGCAAACCAGGTACCTGATCTAGCTCTCTGTGAACCTGTGGGGACTCTTAATCCAAGGCAAGGGACATAGTGGAAGTGTTTAGTAATGTGGAAGTGGACAGGACCATTACATTCACCACTGGCATGGATTGAGATTACAATCTGTGTAATCTCTGTGTAATCAGAGATTGAGATTACAATCTGTGTAATCACAGAGAGAATCATTATAGGACTAATGCTTTTCCATGTCTTAGCTCTGCAGAAAAAGCAGAAATCTGTAGGAAATGTGATCACTAGGGTCAGGAACCAAGAGGTTCTTGCTTTGAAAAACCAGAAGACCAGGAGTTTTCAGGATACTGTGGAAAAGACATATTGATTTAACCCTGATTTTGTCAAACTGCAAAGATAAACCTAAAAGGAGGATGTCTAGGCTCAGCTGGGATGATTGTGATGGTGTGAAGGTGAGCAGCCATTTTAAAATCAGATAATGATGCATCCAATATGCATTGACTGCCTTCTTCAGGTTTCCAGATTCAAAGGCAAAGTTACCTGCTTCAAGCACAAGACAATGATGAAGGCATGTGTTGCACAGGAGAACATTAAATAGCACCTAGAAGAATGGGTTGGAGCCTAGTCATAGCCTTGAAGGATGACACTGAGGATCTTAACCTTCTCATTGCCTTTTATTGTTTCAGGATTATTTATTAAATTTTCAGTGGTGTGTGGGTAGATGTGCATGTATTGTCAAAGGAGCATCAAGGACTGGGGAAAAATGAGGGCACTACCACAACAGTCACTAAGGAAAACTGTGAAAAATTAGAGATCTTCTTGCCCATGAAATGCTGAAACATTTCATGCTTCTAAACTTAAACACCTAGAGTTATAGTGAACCTGATGGAGTAATTAAGAGAGCATTTAGGGTGTTTACATACCAGAATGATGTGTATATACAGCTCAAAAGACTAGAACTGTTTCCAGAGTGGGAGAGACTGCGGGGAAACTCAATTAAGAAGAAATACTTGGGCTGGCTGTCTTTCCTGATGAGCTCTGCTGTGTTAGAAGGAGTGCTTGAAGGAAGGCATTGTTCCTTATATATAGGACTTAAAAAGCTGCAGTGGCCTGGAGGGATCAATTGAAAATGTACAATAGAGAGTAATTTCACAGTAGCAGGAAGGTGGAATACATCAGCTAATGATTGTTTTCTGTCTTTCTGAAATTACAAACTGCCCACAAATTTTTGGAGAGATTATTAAACGATCCCTAATAGAGTGGTTCCCTTTGCAGTTGGTTGGTTTGCTCATTTAATGATGAGAAAGGGATGAAGGAATTAAATCCTCAGCTATATGTCTGATATTTCTCAGCTAGCATGCAGGAATATAAGTTTTTGCCTTAGTACTACCATTGCTACAAGAACTGTAGTGACAAAGAGAAGTCTAACACTTGGGGTACTAATCCCCAAATATTTAAGTGGATTTTTCATAAAAGGAGTATATCTAACCTACCTCACTTCCTCTTGTTCTGCAATCATAACATTTTTATTCTGTAATTGGAAACAAACACTTGAAATTCTACATAATGCTTAAAGAACTAATTGACCTGACACTGTGGACTTCCCGTGTGCTTTTCCGAGCTATGCTTTTGAATAATTTACCAAAAGAATGGTAATAAACCATAAAATATTAATCAGGTTTTCTACAGAACATAAGTTGGAGGGTTTTATTTAAGCTGCGAGTCTGTTAACTTCTCTATCAGTGTAACTCTGTCAACATGACCAAACCTGATTTGCAAGTCAGCTGTCTTTCATCTCAAAGAGGCTCTTTGTTGATATAGTATATTACAGCAGTCCAGCACTAATGTTACACCTGCTCCACTGGGATGGAACCTGCTGTGTCTGAATAGAAAGTGTTCAGTCTAATAAGGTAATATAAGAACACAAGCCCAGTTGTACCTGGTCAGACCAATAGACAATACAGATCAATATCCTGTCCTCAACAGTGGTCACAGATAATTGTTAGGCCAAAACTCAAGGCCAGTGATTTTGGAGGCAGTAGGTGAATGAATATGTAAATGGCTTACAGTGATACATTAAAAGAATCTTTCCTCTATTTAGACAACTATTTTTGGTAGAGTAGCAGAGCATCTTTTATTATGTTTTCCTATTAGGGGAAAACACGGTTTTAATTGTGATCACAAATGGATGGATCATTGAAAACCTGTACAATCGGTAGTTCACTGGAATGTTCCCCTTTAAT